CGCGGCGCCGAGACAGGCTGCAGGAGAGGGGGCTGCCATGGGGCGGCTGGAGGGGCTGATGGCCCGGGACCTTGGGGCTCAGGAATGCTGCGAAGGATGCTGAGCCAGGGCCCGGGTCGGCCGGGCCACAAAGGTGCTGAGCAGCCCCAGGGTGTGGGGCCACATCCTGGGCTGGGCAAGGAGGAGCCGCAGGCTTCCGGATCCTGCAAAAGCAGCTAGCCCCGGCCCAGATCGGGTTGAGGACCAGGAAAGTGGGCACGGCTAAAGCCCCGCGGGCACGCACCCAGCATGGGCAGCGGCCCCCGGGGAGGGAGAAGCCCAGGCAGCCTGGCAGCCGGGAGCACTGCCGAGGGGAGGGGACGGGGTGCTGAGCAGGCTGGCAGGGACCCGCAACCGCGCTCCGGCCGCTGGCGCTCGCTCCCATCGGCACGGGGGAGAGCCGGAGCAGCGCCCGCAGCGCCATCCAGGCTGGGTTGGGGATGTGAAAGCGGGGTGCGGGGCTGCCCGGGAGGTCTGCACCCCACGGCCACGAGCCGTCGCCTCTGGCATGTGCGTGTGCATTGCGTGAGTGTGCACGTGCGCGGCACACTCGTGTGTGCACGTTATCTATCCCTCCACGCGTGCAGGCGTAGCTCCACGTGGGCGCATGTCTGCCTCCACGCGTGTCCGTATCCAGACGTGCACTTGCATGCATCGGTACCTCCGCGTGTGTCTACGTACATACATTGACGCGCACATCCACGCGTACGCACGTGTGTTCCTGTATTCCTGCACGCGGGCGTGCGGGGAGGCACGTGTTAATGTGAGCGCACGCGTGCGCGCCCGCCTCCGTGGGCCTGCGCGCAGGCCTGGCCAGCTGCGCGTTCACACCTGCAGCTCCGCGAGCGCACCCGCATGCAGGCGCAGACCCACGTGCAGGTCTGCGTGCCTGTTCCCACCGTCGCACGTACATGCGTGTACCCCTCTGCGCGCACGCACGCACGCACGCGCGCATGCTTCCACACGCGTGCATTCGTGGTCGGGCACCTCCCTGCGCACGCCTGTCCCCGTGCGCATGCATGTTCTACCCGTGTGTGCACGCGTGCACGCCTCCACACGCGCACACGCGCTCACGTACGTAACGCTCACCACGCCCGCACGCCTCTCCCGACGTTCACGCATGTACGGCACGTGCGCACACGCGCGCGCGTGTCTA